TCCCTTAACCAGTTAGTTGTGTTTGACGAGTATATTCGTCATGGAGAAGTGACGGTATTTTGAGTCATGACGAGTATACTCGTCGTTTGTAAAAAGTAGTGACCTCCCTTCAAAACAGGGAGTTCCCTTAACCAGTTAGCTGTGTTTGACGAGTATACTCGTCATGGAGAAGTGACGGTATTTTGAGTCACGACGAGTATACTCGTCGTTTATAAAAAGTAGTGACCTCCCTTCAAAATAGGGAGTTCCCTTAACCAGTTAGTTGTGTTTGACGAGTATATTCGTCATGGCGAAGTGACGGTATTTTGAGTCATGACGAGTATACTCGTCGTTTGTAAAAAGTAGAGCCCTCCCTTCAAAACAGGGAGTTCCCTTAACCAGTTAGTTGTGTTTGACGAGTATACTCGTCATGGAGAAGTGACGGTAAAAAGTAGCGACCATTGGCTATTAAAATTGTCATTTTAGTGAAAACAAAAACATATACTCAAATTTCAAGATGTTTGAAATATTTCGAGGCCAATCCTACACGAAGCTGTTTACATTGTTATAAGAATAAGAATAGAAAAGAATCACGATATTTGGTGTTCGAAGTGCAATGTGCCATTGTGTATCGTTCCTTGCTTTACCAATTCCACTCTACAGCAGCAATTTGGATTTTTAACTTTTATAAGTATTTGATTTTTCTCGCGTTTTTCGTTTATTATGTACGCAGTATATGTTAATGTTAAGTGAATAAGTAAATATCAGTAATAAAAATGTTAATTTTATAAAATGATACCGTCTTTTTGATCCAATATTTTTTAACAGCGACACTTGCTCTGCGTTTGACGAGTATATTCGTCATCGCTTGATTCTCGCGATACATGTAGGTGCGCGCTCTGAAAAGGAGGCGCTACAGCTAACTGGTTAATGATACACTACTACAAGACTTTTGTATAGATTCGGGAGCCAGTATGTAAATTGAAATGTATTGGGCACTTCTTTTTATCTGAGAACTGACTCGAGCACGTCTGGACGAAATAGCGAGAAATTCGAGTTTCTGTGCAACTGGTTTCTTGCAGAAATTTCATTAACACTTTAACTGCCACGTCGTCCATATATGGAATTTTACAGTTTTACATTTCGATCTTAATTTGGAGAAATGAAATGCTTTAATTTTATGAAGATTCTTGTGCATCGAAGTGTTAAACTCTCTCTCTCTCTCTCTCTCTCTCTCTCTCTCTCTCTCTCTCTCTGTATCACGACAATTAATCCTTTGCACTCGAGTGGCGATTATCAGGCATCGCTACAAATTGTTACATCACGTTCCAAAATAATTTTCACATTTGTTTATATTTAACAATTTGAGTGCTTAAGATCAACCCCAAATATTTCCATAATTGTTCTAATATGCTTAATGAAACTGAAACTAGAAAGAGTTGAAGTTTGTCATAACGGATGCTATTTAAAATCTTCTGCACTCTAAACATTACAATAATAACGAATTTTGAAAACTGGTCAAAAATTAGTGTCACCCACTTTTTTTTCTAATCAACATGCTAAAGTTGTTAAAAATCTAGCTGTTGTTTACAAACTCAATTTCTTGTGCGTAATATGATAGAATAAGATAGAAATATTTTCAGTTAGAAGAACTGTTTTGAACTTAGACTTAGTATGCTTTTAGCTTGCTTAATTACGTTATTTATTCAATTATTTCCTACGAAAGACTGTTTTTAATTTCGACAACTTTCATCCGATTCGACACAACTGCAAATATCTGTGCCGACATTATATTCGGGAATGATTGTTTTAGGAAAAATAAAAGGCCGATGTATCTTCGAATACAATAACATATAATATAACGTTTATTATATACCTGATTATATATTTCATTTTTTTCTCCGAATGGCAAAGCAATAAGATGAGTACAAATACAGTAATTTCTTCCTAATTTGCGCACGGATTGCGCACAAAAATGGACAATTTAGGAAGAGGAGGTACGATTATTCGAGTCTTGCGGCTTGTTTTCATGTTAATCGTATCTCCTATTCCCAAATTGTCCATTATATTATAATTACTGTCCTTCCTTAAAGGTTAGAATAAAAATAAAAAAACAAAAACTTGTCATTTCGACGGGCACTGTAGGTTTAGTGTTGATAGATAACCTGATTCTATTCAAATCAGAGTGGAAAAATTGTATGTTATCTGGCTATAATAGATTGCTGAAACATCACACTGTAGAAATAGTCTGCACGGCGTTCGATCGAAGAGACGAGGGAACTGGCAGTAAAAAACGTCATCGGAATTATGCAAAATTGCTTCGACCGAGGAGCGAATTCGATTGAATGTTGCCGTTCGCAAAGTTTTCCCATCTGTTCAGTTACCGAAGAACAACCGCGAGAGAAATCTCGATACTTTGCCGAGCTGAATCGATGTTTCCGAGAAGAATCAGCCCGCATACACGTCCGAATTCACCTTCTATTTCGGTGAACGAATATGGAAAACAGCGTATTGGCCGGGGTTAACCTTTCCCGTACAGAAATCTAGGACAGATCCTTCGTCCTGTTAATGCAGTGTGGAACAATTTTTCTTGTCGTGAGCCACGCGAGAAGATACGGCAATGATACGACCTCGTATAATAATCAGCTCTTTGCAATAACCATCAAATATAGGACAAGCATGCCATGATCATTTATCACCTTGCCTTTTTTTTACGATCAATAAACTACGAATTTGATTACATTCATTGTCGAATTATCTAAAACGTAATTCTCACATAAAAATAATACCTAATCGCTTTTAGTAATGTTCGAGCGAAACATGCAAATGCTAGATACAGTAAATTTTCCCTAATTGGCCCTCAGCTTGGAAACAGAAATGGACAATTTTGGAAGAGGAGGTACTAATAATAACAAACGATTATCGTTTTTATAGTTGGCGATTATCAACCACTATAAAAACGAGCCGCAAGATTCGAATAATCATATCTCCTCTTCCTAAATTGTCCATTTTTGTGTACAAACTGAGGATCAATTAGGGTGAATTTACTGTACAGTCATTTTGTGCGGTCTTTTTATGTCATCTTTCTTTTTGTACGATTATTATGCGGTACATGAATACAGTCAAACCTGTTTTTGTCCCAAAACAGGGATCGCAGAAAGAATCGCATAAAATAGACCGCACAAAAACAAATTTGACTGTATATGTTGTAGCCATGCTTATGAAATTGAAAATCAATTTTCGATCACACGTTTAGTCTGCATAATTAAATTTTTATTATAAGATTGGACATAAATTTGTGCATGTATGCATTATTCGCTATCAAATTTTGGCTGATATCATTTTGTAAAAAATTCGTATCATGTATGCTATATTCAAATTCAAGGTTAAGCAATATTGCGAGATATTAAAGTATTATATTATATATTATTATTATACAAATATTATTATATATTTTAATTAATTATTATATATTTATTATTATTTATTATTTATTAATTATTATTATTTATTAATTATTATATATTTTAATATATATTATATAATGTATCCCGTGCTTGAACAATTTTTTCGCGTTCTTCCCCGAATCCTTTTCGTTTGAATTTTCCAAGATTATTTTATTGTCGGAAAAGAGAATTGTGTTAATGTTGCGTTGCCATCGCGATTAAAGTTTATACAACAAAGAGACGTCATATTTACACCAACGTTAACAAATCATATTGTCGACCTTATCGGGAAACAGTTTACGGCATGCATTTAATAAACTTACGTAGAGAGACAGATGCGTCGAATGAAACGTCACGGAGATAGAATGAAATTTGTATTGTTTTATAAATTGTACGTGCACGCTATCTATATCGGCGACATAATTTTTCTGCGAACGATTTGGTTTGTAAACGCACTTTTTATTGGTTTCAGAGGTTTGTTATCTGTGTTATGTTATGTGTTCGTTTACACGACTGAATATACGTGCGTTTACAAAAAAGTGGATTCAAGTGATATCGAATGTCGCGTGAATGATCAAATTGTAGAGAATGGTCCGTAACTAGTGGTACGAGTCGTGGAGATGAAAATTGCACATCAAATAAACAAGTCGAAAATAATCAACGAAATTTTTATGTTTTTTTGTTTCTTCAAAATGATTGAAAATCAAATTTTCTTTTTTGCATTTTTACTTCGTCCAGTAACGGCATCGTATTGATGTATTTTCTCTTTCACAAGAATAGAGTGTGTCCGTATCGTGTAAATTTAAGCGTACAGATTTTGTGTAAATTTAACAATGCACCGCTATACAACTTGTACAAGGCTGCCTGCGTCCTGTTGGTACACCCGTTTGCTACAGAATCATTGCACGACTTATGGCGTGCCTTTTGTCAATATATTTATCTATACAGGGTGTTCCACAATTATGTTAACACCAGGAAAGGGGTGATTTCTGAGGTCATTTCAAGTAACCTTTTCCTTAGCGAAAATGCAGTCCGCGGCTCTATTTACGAGTTATTAACGAGAAGCACTGACCAATGAGAGGCGAGCTCGACCTAGCGCTAGGCGGCCGAGCCAATCAGCGGAATTGAGCTTCGATTGCTCGTTGGCTCAGCCACCTTGCATAAGCTGAGCTCGCTTCCCATTGGCCAGTGTTTTTCGTTAATAACTCGTAAACAAAGTCGCAGATTGCATTTTAGCTAAGGAAAAAGTTGCTTCAAATGATCTTAGGAATCATCCCTTTCTGGGTGTGAACATAATTATGGAACACCCTGTAGAGTCTGTAAATTCTATTTTTATTTCTATTTTGTCCACGTGTAAATCTGTCTATGAAGTCTATACATTTTCTAAATAAAAGCTGCCATATCGAAAATCGTGTCTCGCTGATTCGAATGGTTATAAAGTAATCGACGAATTTCTGATGGCAACGAAAATGTTCGACGACTAGAACTCGTGTACATGTCATATCTATACCAGAGAGAATGAGAAAAATTCTTTTATATTTTACGCTAGAACGTGAAATAGGTATTTTTACTCACCGACGCTGTTTTCCCATTTTTACTCGTGACTTTCAGCAGGGACCCCTCGTACCCCTGAAACAACATGAAGTTCAGCATATTATTGATCAGCACAGCGCTACAAAAGAACGTTGAACGAAACATTCATTTCCTTCAGTTCTATTCAATCTACTGATTTAAATGAAGTTTCTTAGAAAAGAACTCTCCGATCTTATTTCGTTTAAATATTCATGGAAAGATAATTTTGAGATGTTCAAAGTTTCAAGCATCTCTTGAATCGATAAATATCGCGATTTATTAATGAACTGTGCCCTCGTTAGATTCAGTTTGACGTCCAGAACATGGTTGATCTTCAAGATCAAGAGTTTCTTTACGAAATCGACGAAACCATCTTCTGCACATAACGAGCGATAAAACAAATTCTCCGTAGAAGAGAGAAGTGTTTCTTTTTTAATACTGAGTTCATTACGATTTCTCTTGTTAACGATCTTAACGATATGAAAATAACGCATTGATTTTCTTAAATTTGTTTTTATCTTTGCACTGTTTTAAATATTATGTACTCGATTTTGTGTAATATGTGCATAAAACCCGCAGTCTAATTACTGCTATATAACATTTTGTCACGACCGCAAATAAAATGGCGAGATATTATTATTATATCATCGCTTTATTAAACAAGTAATAGCTTTCAATAGTCCAATTATTAATATCAATTAATATTGTAGGTACAATAATACAACGATTATTATTAATTTTAATAATTCCAAATAATCTAATTTGGCTTAAATTGTCAATTTGCGTCACTCGAGTTACTTAATACTAATAATAATTGGACAATACTGTTTTCAAGGGACCAAACAAACATTCGCTTTATAATATATACATATAGACAGAGTGCCTCGTTTTAATTCCATCGAATAATTATCTTCCAAACAATTCGTTATTCGAAAGACTGTTCCAAATAAAACTTGTCAAGTTAATATAATATTGACTGAGGAAAAAATCAGTGGCTTGATTAAAACGAGACAAGCTGTACAGACATTTGCATAAGTTTCAGTCACTAATTATCGTGGCTAAAAATTCACATACGTTATTAATTGATTTAACGCTAGTTTCAGTTGGCAACAAAACTTATTTTTGGAACTTTTTTTGTTTATTAAATACAATACTGCGAGTGTATTGTTTCTTATTTCTTTAGCTTTGGTACATGGGAACTCGAATTGTTAAACTGTGGATTTTTGTGCAAAATAAAAATTGTCCCCATCAACTGCAAGAGATGGAAATTAAATAGTAAGTTCTTTTATTCTTTTAGTATTTCTGCTGCCTTAAACTGCAACTACTCAAGTTCGTCATAAATGCATAAAATTTTTTCAACTTTTTCGGAGAGATCTACCTATTGTTCGAAAAGTGCAGAAGGATTTTATAAAGCGAAGGAAAATATTTCGATTAGAAGATATTGCATGAATTTAGCGAACGCGATACATCGGTTTTCAAATATTTTTTGTCCTCGAATAAACGATCGAAGAAGTTTCGCAAGTTCGAATGAGTTTTTCTATCGCAATCGAACAAGCAGTTTTTCCATGCTTGTGCTTATTCGCGGAACTCGTCCAAACTGTCCTACATTTTCCTTCCTTGATTTGTCGCTCTCGCGCATGTTGGCACGTTCCATTAACATCATTTAAATGTGTTTGCACGGCCAATGTTGTTGATTCGTCTGCGAAGTCACTGAAAACTTGGGAAGTGAAATGAACGTGTCATCAATCGACGAGAAGGTACGGAAATTCGGTTATCTCGTGGACGAATGGAAAAGGGGGTTGGTAATTTCGTTATAGCTTTGGTCGATCAATTTATAAACAGACAAATTGCACTCGCAACGATAAATAACGTTCGATAATATGCTTCGCTTTTTATTGTTATCCGCCTATCGAGTGAAATATGAAAATTAGGCGCTTTAAGAATTCATTACAAGAACTAAAAAATATTTTACAATGCGTCTGAGCATGGTGCGACATTGTAAGTTATTGCAGTTATTAATTCAATTTGTTGACAAAAAATTCATAAAAACTGAATCGCTCGTGAAATTATCTAAAATGAAAGAATGCTTCTCGCCCTAAGTTCGACGAAATATTTTATTACAATTGTAATTTGAAATGAATTTAAACGGCGATTCACCAACTTCGCAATGTATTGTGCCTCGCGTGATTTCTATCAACTAGAATTGTTTTCGACGACTAACATGCGGCACGCAAAATAATTCTGTGGAACAATCCTATTACAAAGCTAATCGTATAAATTTATGATTCCGCTAGATAATCGAGAGAAACATGAACCAGAATGACCGAGTCGTAAACAATAACCGAACGTCGCACAGTGATGCGATCTTATGGACGTTCGGGACAATAATCGTAACTTCTAAACTAATTAATTTTCAACCCACAAGTACGCTAATAATTTTTTAGAGGGAATACAAAGATGAATCGACTTGTACATAAATAATATACAGTTATGTTAAAAAAATTGCAACGATTTTGTTTTTCATTGAATAAAAAGATCTGTTATCGACATTTAGTATCATAATTTGTTAAAAACTGTGTACCGACTAATTTTTTTATTTTTTAACATTTTTAACATTTGTTATTAAGATTTACTAGGTGTCGGGTAACACACAATCCAACATAACACATACATAACTGACATATATTTGAACATAACACAATAAGCAAGTAACAAATATTTCAGTGTAACAGGTTAATAAATAATAAGAAATTATGTACGAAAATATTTGCAAAAATCAGACGTCAATAGCGTATTTTTCATAACATCTTTACAAGTATTCAATCTGGAAGCTTTTCGAATATGCTTCAATCTATTGTTGATATCCACACATAGAAGGTTGCAAAATTATTCTAATTCTTTGTAAGCTTCTTCTGTGCAATTGTTCGAATGGAATGCGTTCTGGATTAAACAAAACACATCCATTTTTTGTCATTGGGTGACGAACAAACCTATTTCTCAAGAATATCCCGATTCGTTCTCGGATGCGCTACGAAAAACCATAATTACAATTACAAATGCAGGCCACTGCAAGGAAACTTTGTACAATATGAGATCCTACGATATGTTTTACCATTTTCGAGGAAAATTAAGTTAAAGATAATCAAACGTATATAGTAGGTCCTCAGTGGATAAGTAATTTCGAGGCAATATAAAACTGAATATAAGTAATTAAACCATTTGTCATCAAAATAACAAGTGTTAAATATATTCAATTGAGTAATCTATTTATATTTATATTTATTGCCGTGTACTTTAAATAATTCGATGTTAGAAACACTGCGATATAATAGGCAAATGCTTGAGAAAGCAAACACAAGTAGATCATTGTCCATACTAACGTGTTTCCTGGGTGTTGAGGATTACTTTTTTGCTTTTTTTAAAATTGTTTACGCATGAATAAAGACTCTAGATTACGATTATTTTATAAAAAAATATTGATTTTTTGATTTTTGTCCACGGTGGCGCGCTATACCAACGCTATACAACTTGAGTTAGTATAGCAAATTAGTTATTATCGTCGAAAACTAATGAATACTTGATTGAAAAAAGGTATAGGACATTTTTTGTTAACGAAATACGTATTTTCTATATTAAAAATTTTGCTAGCGAGGACACTATACAGGACATGTTTGCAGAAACGTTTAGTGATTTTGAATACATGTATGCGTAATATTACTGGTTTAGAAGATATATTGATTTCAATGATACTGTATATATGTTGAGCCGATTATTTTCCATCAGATTTGAATTTCAAATGTACTTTATCATTACCGAAAATATCGGATACATTATCGGACGACAAGTGAAATAACGATTCAATAATGTTCCAAATTTCCTCTCTTTGTTGACTCCACATCGGTCTTCCACGACGCCAGTACGTCGACTTTCGTAGTAACGACTATACGGAATGGATAATAGAGCGAAAACTGTCAAGTGCGACGTTATAGATTCAATGTGGTCGTTTCGGCTGCGAATATGTCAAAATTTGAACAGCCGGTTCTACCGTTGATCGCAAAATATCGTCGAGCAAGCGTTCAAACGATGACATAGAATTGCGAAGGTGTAAGTTTACGGGGCCATTAAGCGTTCGCCATAAAAGCAAAGGAACGAACGGAAACGTCGCCGGTAGCTATCCGCCTCGCACGACAATCTTCGGCTTGTCATCCATTATTTTCGCCGTGGAATATCTTTCCTGGCACATCTCGAGGAGCTTCGGCTCGCCGGGGAACCGAACGATATTTCAGATTTCATTAACACGCGTTTTCTACCGAGAAGCTACGCGCGGTACATACAAATATAACACGGGTACTCATAAGTTTATTGTGCCAGTAAAAGCCGGGACCATGCCAACGAACCAGCGCGCCGGGATTACACGACGGTGCCAGGGTGCTGTGTCCGTCCGATGTAAAGAGCGCCGGAATCGTGTAACACGCTGTCCATATATCATTCGACCGACTCGCACTGCCGTCGAGTTATGCGAACCTGTCCGAGTACTCGAAACATTCGAAATTGGAAACGGAACAACGCTCCCAAGAAACACCGCTGATCTCAAAATCTCCATTGTCGCTTTCGAATCTTACGGGGAACACCGCGAGAATTGACGATGAAGTTGCGGAGAAATTTCTGTGCAGATCGAGAGTATATTTTACACAGTTGAGGAAAATGAAAAATAAATTAAATGAAAAATACTGTCAAACGTTAGTCGGCCCGCGAGGAATTGATAAGAATCGCGGTGACAGGCGCTCTTGGAACAATAAGTATATGCAATTTAATATTCAATTTAATCCAATTTTATAAGTATATCCATCATCTGACCTGAAAAATTATTGGAAAATATTCAATTGTGGATAAATATATGTAGACACCTTGTAAAACTTCTTTAAAATTTAACTAAGCGAATTGATTTTTTTGTGATAATAGAAGAGCTAATTGGCTAGACAATGCATAACAAAAATTCTGCAAAAATTGCAATTGGATAGAATGAGAAAAAAATAAGAACATATCACGTTCTCCAA